CATGTAAAGGTACAAGTTCCCAATGAGAAATGTAATTGTGTTGTATATCTAAAATGTACCAATAAAAGAATTATAGAAAAAAAAAAGAAAAGAAAAATTAGATTGAAATTAACAATAGAAAAAAACTGGAAACAGTTCAGATGTCCATCACAGGAACAACAGATAAAGAACTGTGGACAGTCATTCAGTGGACAACATGGTTGGTTATGTTGAATATCAAAACATATCGTTAAATGAATGAAGGCAGATACAAAAGAACACATTGGTGTGATCTCACTTACATGGAGTTCCAGAACAGGCAATGATAAACAGAGCAGTAGGGATGCCCGTGAGGTGGGGAGTAACCTAAGGGAGGCATGGGGCAGCTTTCTGTGCTGATGGAAGTGTTCACTACATTGACTAAGGCACTTGTTAAATAGGTATATTCATTTGTCCAAACTCATCAACTTGTGGACTTAGATTTGTCTGTGTCACTGTAGCTAAGTGTTTATCTCAAACAGCATCAAAAACAGTATGCTGAGGAATTCTGTGAAGATGAATATAGGGAATCTCTCTTTTTATCCCTTCAGACGCAAAATGACTTAATTTTCATCTCTTAGCTAAGCCTACACTATAACATCTGTTCTGATGATGACTACCTAATTTATTGTGCAAAATAGAGTACTTCAGGTAGTAAAGGGAATGGAGTTGTAAATTACACTGGGACAACAGGTAGAACCTATGGCCCTTTCTGTTTCTGTACTGGTCATGTGTGGTCCTGCATTGCAGGCACAGCCAAAGGCAGGCGGTGGTGCAGCCTGAGGGAAGAGTGGTAATGGGGAAGTGGGTAGAGGGAGCAGGGCAGTGAGTTGAGAGGGAAAAGTGGGAATTATCTGGGGTAAAGGCAGATGTGTTACCCTAAATTGCCATTAATGAGCTTTTAAAAAAGATTTTTTTTTTAATGTTTCAGAAATTACTCACATTGCTTTCTTTGTTCCTTTGAAACAGGAGATAGTGGATAGTGCCTTCCAGACATGGAGGACGGGAAGCCCGTGTGGGCGCCACACCCCACAGATGGGTTTCAGATGGGCAACATTGTGGACATCGGCCCTGATAGCTTGACAATTGAGCCCTTGAACCAAAAAGGCAAGGTGAGTTTCTCAGAAAGATTTCAAAATGTGATTCCTTGTTAAAAGTAGATATATTTGCAAAAGAGATACACATTTCTCTTCTTACAGAAGTAAGATATTCCTGGCAGAGTAAAGGGGGAAAAAATTCTCCTAAGTTCATCTTAGTTCTCTATTGACTTCTTTTATTAAAATCAGAAGTACATACCCTAGGGGAAAAATGGTGTGCTACAGTAAAATCAGACAAATTTAGTGAGCCTTTCATAGTCATATTCTTAAGGAGCTCTGTGATGAAGTTGAAACAACATTCATATTCCTTATGCTACTTTACTGAAATTATTGGCATACTTGTGATGTATTCAAAATGTTATGAAGTAAAAATATGAAAGTGAATTGTGCTGTTTAATCAGGGCTTGCTTTTCGCCTGGTCTTTACATGTCTTCCCTTTTTTGAACACTTTCTATTAAACGTGTTAGTATGAGATTTGAATAAATGTTTCTACTGAGTAAAAATACTGAGTCTTAAATTTCATCTATCACTATTTTTGTGATAATGATGCCGTAGGAGTATGCTTTAATTCTGTACATGTGCAATTTATTTCCTTTTATGCTTAGGCACACCCAGGACAGTGTTACAAAATGGAAGTTGGGGGGGCGGTGACCAGGAATTGTGAGCTGCTTATGGAGAATGAGTCCATTGTGAATACTCTCTTTTAGTCTCCTTGAGGATGGGTAGGGTCTGTTTGCATAGGACAGTTTTGCTCTTTTCAGTTTAACAAATATTGCTGTCAAACTTGCCTTCTGACTAAATTAGACTTGTGGATGTCTTTTCTGTTTACTTTACACTCTGCAAGTGTTCATGAATGATTTATATTCTACCAATACATGGTTAACTAATGCTGAATGACTGCCATCCTTCTGGGAACTTTAGAAAAACAAGGTAGATCTCTCATGAGGCTTTTCAGAAAGAAAACTATTCTGTTACTGTAAACAACCCAGGAACCAAAATGCATTATATATAATGTGCCATGTTAGAGGAGGCCAATTAAAGATATCTTTAGGGAAAGAAAGAAAAAGTGTTTCTAGATTTTCCTCTTATTAACAGGGACCTATTTGTACTTACAGTGCAATACATGTTAAAAAATAATTTTTAGAAGTTTAATTATTTTATGTATTTAAAGCATTTGCTTTTTATTTAGTATATTTTATAAGCACAGTAAATCAGAAGGTGAAAATTAAATGAAAATTATATTTCCTAGGTATATCCTATTACATCTACAAGTAACAAAATAATTTAGTTCAAGCATAAGAGAAACTTGATTTATGAGGATGTGTTTTTCAGTATTTTAATGTGCTTTAAATGGTGCCTTATTCGTATTAATCAGGTGCCTCTAGACCCAATAGTAACAGTTTAAATTATGGAGTCATGTAACTTTTATGCATTTGTGGGTAATTCTGTAATCTAAAGTTTATATTTTTCACAAAAATATTTTTGAGGATTAACAAATTATTAAGGATTACTTTTAATCTTGGTTTCCCCTCTTTCTGATGGAGATTTTAATAAATTGCCAAGTGTCTTAATAACCAGATGCTTAAAATGATCCCTAAGAGAAATAAGATTTTGCTGAGATAATTCATGGTCTAGAGATCATCAGCCTTTAAATATTATATGAAAAGTTCACGAAGTGGTAGACCAGTCACCGTAGATGTGCAAGTGCCACGGAAGCATAGAAGAGGGAGAGGGGTCAGCGCTGGTGGGGATACATGTTTGATGGTAGTAGTGGCTTTCACGGTTCTCATTTGTGCCCCATAGCAAGAAAGATTTTACTTTAGGTATGTGTATTGTGTATGTTTGAATGTATGAGAAATACATTTTACATGTCCACACATGTATGTAGAATATGTGTGTTTGTGTATGTAACATAAATAATACAGTTGATCAAATGAAACATGGTCGGCACAGGGAATATTCTGTTGAAAATGCTGTCTTGACCCTCTGAATTGGTTTCATGTCCCCTGTGTGCAGCACACTGGCCTTTAGGTCAAAGCCCAAAGCACGTGGCTTATAAGGGCCTGCATTTCCTTTCTCTTGCCCGCTTTGCTGGAGTTGGACTTTTGTCAGCCAGCAGTTTCCCCCTTGATAGTCTTGCCTTGCCCTTGTGCGCCTGTTTCTTTGCTGTTTCTTTCCTTCTACCAGTGTTTATCACAGAGGGTGCTGTGTCCCTGCCCGCAGTTCTCCTTTTGCCTGGTGTGCCACTCTCTGTAGCTCTTTACTTAGCAAATGGTTATTTATCTAAGACTGAGGTTACCTTCTTTGTGGAAATTTTCCACGGACACCAAATCTTTCTCTCCCATGAAACAGAATTAACCGTTGATTACTTTTTCCTCTGAGGGGAAGTGTAGCTTCTCAGCTCTCCTGTAGTCCTTGTCAGAGATCATTGTTTATGCAGGTCCCCCTCCCTCTTGAGTTTTCTTGTCAGTGCAGGGGCTGCTTTATTTGTTGAGTCTCTTATTGGAGGTTGATGTGCTGTATTTTCTGTGGGGTTGGTGTTTTATGCTAGGTGATCAATGTGTTGTTATTGGTTCTTCTTTTGCTAGGAGGAAAAATCCTCCCTTTAAAAGTTGTCAGGAGGAAACAGATGTTTGTCCTGGAGAGGAGAAGAAAATGAAGGTCATAGGTAATTGAGGGTTGAAGAAGTAGGAAGAGAAACCCTCTTTGAAAACTTGTTTCAGCATGTGCTGTTAACTTTGTAGTAGCTCTGTCACCACCCTCCTCTGAGCTTCTGTCCCTGTGCTCTAACTTTCTGGGGTCTTTTTCACTTAGCATGGGTCCTACCAGGCTAGCCCCAAACCCTGGAACAAGGGGTCTTTATCCTTATTGTCATAGGTGTGACAAGTGGGGACATAGTTTTCTAATGTTAGAGTTACTTACCAGTGTGTTTTTCTGTAGAATCGTTGTGATAGGTTGTGGATTGCTTTATGTTATCATTCATATAATTAGTGTACATTATGGATTAATTAACGTTTGTGCTCTCTTCTCTAAACTTTTTCACATTATAACATTGAGAACATATGTACTGGGTTTGAAATAATTAACTTCCAGAGCTTTTTTTTTTTTTTTTGGTACGGGGGATGAAACTTGGGACCTTGTGCTTGCGAAGCAGGCAGTGGAACCACTGAGCTAAACCCCCGGCCCTCAGAGTTTTTAGAGCATAAAAGTTTTCTAAGTTGAATATGACTTCAAATTGAGGTAGTACTTGCAGCCTGGATTTTACTCTGTAGAGTATAATGGCAGCCTTGTCTTATGTAATGTTCTTACATAAGACATATACCCATGCACACATACATGCATGCACAGACCTGCAGATGATATTTTTGGTGGTAGAGATTAAACCTAGGGCTTTGCACATGCTAAGCACATGCTATGCACATGCTATACTTCTCTACAAGTATTATTTTAAAATAATTGAACCATTTTTCTTCAGAGTTTTATTTGATATGTTTGGAAACTTTAGCTATAAGGGTAATTGTAATTGTTTAAAGGTATAAATTTATAAGTAACTGTTAGACGAGCAAGGATTAAAATTTAATTCTCTTTTGATGTAGTTTGAGATCATTTGTTCTCCCTTACAAGATGCTATCTTAATTCTGCTGTCTACCATAGAATTTAAATAGTGGGCAGTGGATTTAGTTCAGTGGTGCCACTGCCTGCCTCTGAAGGTTCTAAGTTCTGTCCCCAGTACCAAAAAAAAAAAAAAGAATTTAAGTAGTAAATTTAGTGCAGGTTTATTTATGGATACTTTTTAATGAACCAAATATTTTCTGATACTGTATATTTCTGACACATCTTTGCACAGGAATTTGTATCAAATATGTTTTATTCATATATTAAAATTAATGTTTTATTACATTTTTATTGATGCTACTTTTCGGTTTTTAAAAACAAACTTGCTGTGTATACAAACATTAAACATTTTATTTTAAAAAGAGTTTTTGCATAGTATGCCTGTTAAAAAGTTAACATTAGTGTGTCACTCTTGGTGTAAGAGCCTAGCGTCCTTATTTACTGAGTTCCATTATTGACTCAGGTCCACAGTAATAGTGGGAACTATTTTTGAGGAAAGTTACCTGTTTTGGGGTTAATGTCTTGTTAAATAATAGGATCTGTATTGAATTTTATCAAAGAATATATTGTTGCCAGCATAATGTATGCAACCAATTAAGCTCCTTTGTTCTTTTTTTATCATGCATAAGCTTACATTTAATGAGGTTTTTTTTTATGTTTGTTAGACATTTTTGGCTCTTATAAACCAAGTGTTCCCTGCAGAAGAGGACAGTAAAAAAGATGTGGAAGATAACTGTAAGTATGAAGTTCAAGTTAGTTCTTAGCACAGAAAAAGAAACTTTCCTCCCAAAAAGTAAATTAGTGGTTGTATTGCTAGTTCATTATACTGGTTCAGAAAAAAATGTAGCTTTTTGATATGAAAGTTCATGCAAACGGAGGAACCTGAAAGGCCAGAATTTATCTCAGGTGTGCATTTTATTGAGTCTCTTGATTGTCCTTTAGTGTTATTTCCGCTGTGTACGTGGGGGATGGTAATAATTTACTGTGAGGCTTGAACTAAAGCTCTTCTGTTAGCAGTCTTGAGTGTTAACTTGAATCTTATCTAGAGTCAAGTAATTTTTATTGCAGTATCTATGACTCAGTAATTTGGAAGTTGAGTCAGTAAGAGTCATTTAACATCATTATTTGAAGCAAACCAACATTAAAAAGACTAATAACTGCTTATTGAAAATTTTATTTCAGAATATTTTATTAAAATACAACATCAGCTCTGGGCATGTGGTTCACACCTGTAATCGCTGCATTCTGGGAGACTGAGGCAGAAAAATTACAAGTTCAAACACAGTCTGAACAACTTGGTGGCTTAGCAAGTAAGACCCTGTCTCAAAATAAAAAAGTAAAAAAATGGCTCGTTTAAAGGCACTAGGCTTAATACTCAGTACCACCCAACAAAGCAAGACATAACACAACAAAAAATGGCACCGATTCAGTTTATAAATACCTTAGCATGTTTGGTGAAAAAACCTTTATCTAGTGTACAGGCTATGTTTATTCTTACATTTTCAACCTTAAGTAATCATGTTTCAATTTTTTAAAGGGGGCTGTTTGTCATATTTTTGGTTATTAAAAAAAAACTCCAAGAAAATCAAATGAAAAAGAGGAAAGTTTTATTTTACTCAGAGTTTCGGAGGTTTCGGTCCATTGTTGCCTTTGGGCTGTGGCTGGGCAGGACCTCCTGGGGGGTTTGTGGCTGATGAGGTTGCTCAGTCATGGCAGCTCAGAAGCAGACCTGGGGAGAAGCTGCATTCCCACTGTACTAATCGACTTCCCACTAAGCTCCAACTCTACTCTCCCCTCTCCTCGACCTATATACTGAGCCCAGGGCCTTTGCATAAGCTACATCCTTGCCCTTTTTATTTTTTACTTTTTTATTTTGAGACAGGGTCTCACTAAGTTGCCCAGGCTGGGCTTAAACTTGTGATCTTCCTGCCTCAGCCTTCCAGAGTGCTAGGATTACAGATGTGTGCCATCACACCCAGTCAAACATTTTAGTAAAATGTTTTGAAATACATTTTCAATAAGTAGTTATTAAATAGTAGTTTTTTAAATGTTAGGGTGTTTGCTTCAAATAGTGATGTTAAGTGATTCCTACTGACTCAACTTCCAAATTACTGAGCCACATATACTGCTGCTAAGCCCTGCCACCATCTTCCAGGAGCATGGAGCTAAGCACCAAGCCTTTAACACATGAGCTTTTGGAGTATGTTTCAGTCCAGACTATGGGACGGGGACAGTATTTAAAAATCATGTCCAGCTGTCCTGGTGTTTGACATTAAAAACTCTCTATTTCAAGAAAAAAGGTGAGACAAAGGAACAAGGTTACTCTACCGATTTTCTCCAGAGTTCACAATTGAGTAAGCCTGTGTGATGCCCATCTGTACACAGGGCATGGTGGGTAGCTGGGTGGTGAGAGTGCCCTGGGCTGTAGGCAGGCAGGCCTCAGTGAGAGTTCTGACTGCAGTTAGCATGCTTATGTGCCCGTGAGCAACTTAACTCTCTCTTGAGATTCTCACCTATAAAGTAGGAGTATTATTATTTTTATATGTTATGAAACCCTTCATAAATGCAGCTTTGGTTGATTTTAGAATGTAGGTTTTCTACCTGAAGTTGTTCTTTAGTCAGTTTTGTCACGGTACTACTGAGCTGTCTGAATGACACACTGGGATTGTCCCTTAGGGTCTCACATGTATGTCTTTGCACCTTTCTATATCATAGTGAAAATGTGATTAAATGATTGATGTCTATAGAGTGTGTTCTGAACTGTGTGATAAAGTTTCAGTTAAAACCAAGGTATATGTTGTCTTTAGGCAGAGCGTGGTGGCACATGCATGTAATCTCAGTGCTCAGGAGGGAGGAGGATGGCTGAGAGTTTGAGGCCAGCCTGGCTACATAGTGAGTTCAAGACTGGCCTGAACCACATAGCGAGATCTTGTCTTAGAAAACAAAAAACAAAACAAAAAAATGTTATTCTTAGGTGGTACTATAGCAATGTATTTATTGTTTATATATTTAGTAAAATTTATTATCTGCTTTAGCTCTAAGTTTTCTGGTAAAGGGTTTTATATGTAGGAATGGGTGTGTTTTGCCTTTTTTACTTGAATTTGGGCATTAATACCAAAATAGAAAAGTAATTTGTGGATATAACATTAGTAATTAAAAAGATAATAATAGCATATTTTCCCACTGATTTTGAGCTATTGTTGCTTATATGACATACAATGTTCTTCATGAATTTTATAAGCTATTAGGTGTTGAGAATAAATACAGGGTATTAAATTGCAAAGAATTCTATAAGTTGGCTTATTCTTTTTTTCAGTAATGAATGACTTCTATAACAATATAAATCTGGAATTAATTGGCTTCTACTGTGTTGAAATTATGTCTCTTTTTCTTTCAATAAACTAGGTCTGTATTCAATAAGCAGGATCCTAAAAATACTCAGTTAATTTCCTAGTCAGATTTAATAATGAAGTTATACCTGTTCTTCTTAGAAACTTTTGGTGTGTTATGTACTTGTATCACCTAAGTGTTTATAAGAAATAAATTTAGCTCAGTGGTTCCACTGCCTACCTCAAAAGTGCAAGGTTCCAAGTTTGATCCCCAGTACCAAAAAAAGAAAAAACAAAACAAGAAACAAATTATGTTTATGCTTTTGGTCTCTATCTTTTACATATAAGTGTATGACTAATTAGGCACAAAAAGTAAACAATTCATATAAAAATGCATATAAAATAAACAATCCAAGTAACCCTAGGGATAGGGCTTAGTACCAGGAGAATTGCGTGGGGCAGGTAGCTGTTCCTGAGATCCTTGTATATATTCCTAGGTCTCACCTTCAGATAGGTGTAGGCATGTAAGACCTAAATATTTCTCACTTGGGCAAATCGAAGGCTACAAATAATGTCCTTTCTTTTTCTCCATGTTCTCGTGAAAATGGAGCAGCCTGAGTAGTGTCATGTAAGGACCGATCCCCCTTGCAAATTCTCACTGACATTGGCAGATATTTTACCTCCTAAGAGATCTGTTTGGCTTAATGGACAGCTATACCTGAGAATGCAGTGGAGAGAAGAGCTAGCAGTCATTCATGTGTTGGCACAGGTTTATAGGATAGCTCTCTGTAGTTCTTCCTTAGAGTTAAGCAGATGATGCCACACAACAGGTATTTCAGAGGAAAGCAAGAAATGGGGGAGTCATTCAGCAGAGTCCTTTGAACAAGGAAACACCAACATGTAGGCCAGATTTCCAGGAGACCAGGGAGGAAGATGAGTAGGAGCAGAAAAAGACAGGTGACCCTGTACCCAAACCAGATATACCTCTGCTGCTTACTTCAAATCCTCCCTCAAGTCAAAGGAAACCTGCTGTTCAACTACTGTGAGGCTTCACCCACTTCTTACTCTTATTCCACTTTAAGTGGCATTAGAAAACAGTGAGGCCCTTGGAAGATGAATTTACTGTCATATGAGTGCAGAAGTATGGATTTTCTTTGTTGAGATAGGTATACCAAAAGACTCTTGTTTGGCAGCATTGACAAGTGTTGAATTGTATGCCAGACATAAATGCAGAGTAGGCTCATATACAGCGTCAGTAAGAGGTCCAGCACAACAAATAAGTGAATCAAGCACCATCTGCTCTCAAGGCCCTTATAGCCAAAGCCTGGTACGTACATTATCATTTTAATACAGGCAGTATGTGGGAAGTAGCATAAAGAAGCCACAGAGAAGAGAGTGGCCCTGGTGGGGGTTGTGGGAATGGAGAAGCATTGTGAGATAATCCCTGAGACGGCCTTAAAGGATAGAGCAATTCTTGACACTCAGAGAGGCAGAGGATGTTCTAGGCAGAAGCCAATGCTCGAATGGTGTCTGGGTTAGATAAACAGTTCAGTCTACTCATAGGTTAGTTTATATTATTACATTGTAAAAAATTACAAAGATTATTTGAATGTAGGTTTATTAAAAGCTTTGATCAGACTTGAATGTGGATACTGATAATTGATAGAGACCCACTCACTTTTTCTTTTTAGTTGAAGAGAGATTTAACTAGAGCTCTGATTTAGTCATTGTGCTGAGCAGTCTCTATTACAGAGGAGAGAGACTGGAGCAATAGACAAACACTAGGCTGCTGTAATCATACAAGAGGTAATAAGAAGAGGTAGGGATTTAGCTCAGTGGTGCCGCCTCCTGCCTTGCAAGCGCAAGGTCCTGAGTTCTATCCCCAGTACCAAAAAAAAAAAAAAAAGAAGTAATAAGATTGAGGTGGGACAGTATACATGGACAGAAAAGAGACATTTCAGATATTCAGATTATGCTAACGTTGGTGTGCTTACCATGTGCTGTACTTTTTACATGCTAACAGACTTGCAAATTGTTTTAGAACAAGGAGGATGAGAGAAAGTGGTTCTGGTATTGACTAAAGTTTGTGGTTTGGATGACCAAGAAAGTCGTGCTGCTAATAATAGCAACAAGGTGGTTGAGAAAAGGACTGATTGTGTCTATTCTAGCATCGGTATTAATGGAGCTCAGGAGATTGGAGGGCTTGGAGAATAGATTGGGAAGAAACTTTGATGTATCACTAGAGCAGACATCAGAAATGCGAGGTATCTGTACTGATTCTGCCTTAATTAGTGTCATATCCACATGGGTTAAGGCATATGTAATTTGTCCAGGATTCTTACCTGGCCATGTCACCTAGGAGGGACTGTATGATCTGACTGTCCCTTACCATTCTAAGTCTTGTCTTCTGTGTTTTAACTGTATGATTCTGTGCATCATGGGAGTAGTGTCTCATCTTCATGTTGAAGTGTATTAAAATCAGAGTCCCCGAAGTAATCCTTTCTGTCTGGACAATACTTGACTCCTTCACCAGGCTTCATCAGTGTGTACTCTCAATGGTACTCACAAGATGGACTTTCTAGTTGGAATTCATCACTTAAAAATACCACATTACACATACGTAAGCTAGATTTATTTTAGGCAAGCATTCAACTGCTGTATACTTCCCCTTCCAAGCTGGGTTTATTTTAAATTAGTCCCTGGGGCTTTACATGTACCTGGGTTTTAAAAAGATGGAATTAAATCTGACCTAACAAGTTGAATTTTAGCTTGGGTCAGAGTTATTCCAATTAATACAATTTTGTTTATTTTACTTTTTTAAAAAACTGTTTAATGATTCACCAATTTTATGTTTTAGGTTCACTAATGTACTTAAATGAAGCCACATTGCTCCATAATATCAAAGTTCGATACAGTAAAGACAGAATTTATGTAAGTATTTTAGTTAAAGCTAAAGTATTTTACTGATGGTTTAAATTTTTGTGGTAGTCATTATTTTGCCTGTTTGCCTTTGTCAGGCTTGACATTTTTCTAACAGGAAATCCTGCTTCTCTGAGCCCATGGAGTAGAATGAACTCCAGGAAGACAAGGTTCTTTCTAATTTATTGCTCCACCTGCTCAGGATGTGCCTGGCACACTGTGAGCACTTAATTTGTGGAGTGAAATAATGACTTCAGAGTCTCATTTACTATCTTCCCGACTTTAAAATGTCAAAGTTGAATATTTACAAAAACAATTATTTTGGATTTTGATTTGTTTTTTCATATATGTTTGTAGTTCTGATTAATTAATTTCACTTTTCATATTATTCTGCAGAGAACTGAAGGCAGCCTATAAGGATTATATATTGAAGTTAGAAATTTGAAAGAGGAAAAAATAAATTAGAATAGAAGGCAGTATCTCAGAAAGTATCAACAACATAAAAATGCTGATCTTAAAGCCTAAACTACTTTACTACTATGTTTTAATTGTAATTATTCATTGGACATGTCTGAGATTTTATGTTCTAAAATCTCCCAGTCTAGATTCTTTTGTTGGCTGGAGATAGATTTCCTCACTGTGGTTCTGCTAGAAAGATGGGACTCTTCATTACTTTCGAACGAAGAAAACACATGGCTTCTTTGACACTTCGTAGATCAAATGACAGCCTTCATCTTTTATATCACTATCAGTTTGCCTAATTGTACTTTCTTAATTCTGACTGAATTACATCTAGTCTTTGCCATCTGTCCAAGTAGTGACAGCTGGGAAGTGGAACTAATGTAGTCAATTCCAAGAGTTTACCTGTGGTTTACACAGTGTATCTTCTGATTATGCACATAGATTTTACCTTCCTTCTTGAAGATTTTTCAGAATTAACTAAATAAAGAATATATTCAGGTTTAGATATTAATATTCTTGAGTACATATATGTTTAGAAGCAAAATTATGTCGAATAGAATCTAATGTGTGTTGAGTGCCATTTTTAGATCATGAAATGATACAAAAATTTGTTAAAGCAACAAAATTTTGTTTAACTTACAACAAATCAATGAAAGATAATTTAGAAATGACTAGGAAACATCATCTTTGAAGTAGAAGTATGACGTCGGTGTTTTCAAGGTTAACTGATTGGTGTGTTCCCCTCCCCGACAATTACATCCTTTACTTATAAACTATTAGTATCAGCAATACATAAATATAATTATTACTATAATATATGGAGAAAGTTACTATAATAATAACTGAAGGAAAATATTTAGAATAATAGTTTAAATTTGATATTTTATGTTTTTTACCCATGAGATATCACTATTCTTTAGGTTTGGGTAAAATAACAGCCTACATTTAAGATTTTTATAGTTACTAAAATCTCTGATACTTTCCTTTTGTCTCCCCTGGAAAGACTATGATCTGGAAGTTCTTATTTTTTACTCTGTTCCAAGCATTCTCTACATTCTAGATTAGTCATCTAAGAGTTCTGGGTTCCCACATAATTTCTCTTCCACATTTAGAAGCAGACAAGAGAAAAATACAGCCCTTTGTGCTCTAGTTTTGCCAGTATTACTTAATCACAACCCTCCAGTGAACTAACCAGGAATTTTATAAATACTACTGGTGCATTTTTTTGATCTTTTAGAGCCACAGTTAAATTCCAAATGTAGAAGCAAGCTTAGGTTGTTCATTTAGACGTTTAGCCCATCAGTGTTCCAGTCAGTGGTTAATATGTGTTGTTTTGCAGAACTCTGAGACCAAGAGTCACCTAGTGCTAAAGCCCTCTTTGGCATTCACCACTGGGGATGGGCCCAAAGTGTGCCATGAGCTATATTATACTATTCAACAGCAGGGTGAATGAGGTAGCCTATGTGAAAATTCATTTAACTAAGTTCAGGTGTAGGAATCAAAGGAGGGGAGTAGATTTGATAAGTGGAGTCAACAGAAGAAGCCTGGCTGAGATAGAGGCCTTTAGAAACTCAGATTTCTGATGAGGGTGACTTGGTGGTGTCATGTACTGGGGGAGAGCATTTTGGTTTATTTTCTCTGAGGCAAGGGAGTTGGAAGAGATTATCTTACCTTTGGATATGCTGAGTTGGAGATGACTGGGACAGGACAAGATAAAAAGACTTACTGAGTTGGAGAAATAATGAATCCTATAGAGAGTATTTAGTGTAGATATCGGAATCCTGGATATCTAGAGAATTGAAGGGATCTTTTGCCTTAATGTTACCCTTGATCAGCTTTAAATGAGAATAGTAATCAGAAAAGTTTCATGTTTATGTCTTTCCTTTTAGACATATGTTGCCAACATTCTGATTGCAGTGAACCCGTACTTTGATATACCTAAAATATATTCTTCAGATACAATAAAGTCTTATCAAGGAAAATCTCTTGGAACAATGCCACCTCATGTCTTTGCAGTTGGTAAGGGATTTAATTGTATTTTGATTCTTATCTTTGCTCATAATATGCAAATTTACTCAGTTTTCATTTTGAGTTAATAAAAGGTACCATGAATTGAACACATGTTTTGGGAGGCCTGTGTATCTCGGGTTTTCAGCATGTGCATTGTCAGGAACAGACATCTTTCACAGCGTGGGAATGAATGCTTTGGCAGCCAGTGAGTGGGACCGTCACTTGTCATTATGTTTGGTAAATGCCTGCATCTCCTTAGATTTTCCTGCCCATTGAAAGTGTGACATAAAAAAAGCAGACCCAATGATTCTTTTGACTCCTCAGTAAGATGTACTTTATCTTACAAGTATCCTTCACAGCTCTGAGGCCCAGGCCTTCCTATCCTAGGCTGCCGCTTGCATGACCTGGGCCAGATGTGAGCTATGAGAGCAGACTTCTTCGAGGCATTACCTTGCATCAGGGCTCAATAACATGAAGGGGCAGAAAGCACTACCTGCTTCCTATTGCTGAAGAATCTGTGGGGAGACAGTAGCCTTAGTCTTCCCCAGCCACACTCATCTTGAAGCCCTCTAGCTTCCAGGCTCAGTGAAATGGAGTTATTTGATCAGAATTAGAATTTACTCCCTACCACTTTCCTACCAAGTTCAGAGATGTCAGCTGGCTGCTTTGCAGCTGGAAATATCCCAAAGTTGAGTGTTGTTTCAGTGCAGTAGGCTTCTCATTGTGCCTTCCCTTCATACTGCCTGTGGCCTAACCAGGCCTCACTTGCAGATTTGGTTGCTCTGTGTGCCATATACTGCTGGGTAGAGTAAATACACCAGCCACGCCCAGCAGATTGACTTTTGGTGCTAAGATGCTCTGGTGAGCATTGGTATATGCTTGTGTCAGGCTACAGAATGTTACACAACCCTTAGATCCTGAATATCAGCAGGCTGGGCTGATTGCTGGAGAGAAGTTAGTTACATGTTTAAATTGTAAATAAGGTAGCTTTTATTTTTAGCCTTTGACTGCTAAAAAGTGTTTTGAATGATTCTATAGACGTGAGTGTAACAGGTTATTGATAAATTAGACAAAGGAATAGGTGTACTCTTAGCATGATGCATTAGTCAGCTTTGCATCACTGTAACAAAGTGTTTGACAGGACTCCTTGGGAAGAAGAGGTTGTTTAGCTGCTAGTCACAGTGGACCTTTGGGGACACTGGAACCATATCCAGGCCAGGTGGCTGTATTCTCTTCTTAGAGAAAGAGACATTTGTAAAGCCTTTCTCAATGGTTAGCATACATTTTAGGTGAGAAATAGTTGTCTTACTGAGCCAAATTGGTCAGAAACTTAACAATTTTGAACTTAAAACAATTTTGACTTAAAATTGTTTTAATTTTAGACCACTTTAACAATTAAATTGTGCTTAATTTGCCTGTATAGTCTTAAAATTTAATTTTTGCCCCAGTACTGGGGATTGAACCCAGGTTGTTGAGCATGTTAAGCAAGCACTGTGTTACTGAGCTATATGGCCAGCTCTTTTTCAAAAATTTTATACATTTAGAGACAAGGTGATGTTAAATTGCCCAGGCTGGCCTTGACTTACCATCTTCCTGCCTCAGGCTCCCAAATAGCTGGGATTATAGGTGTGTGCTAAAGTGAGCCTTCTACATTTCCTGACTTTCTGCCTGATACATTGTTGGTCACTAATGTGTTATTTTGACCCTAGCTGATAAGGCTTTCAGAGACATGAAGGTGCTCAGGATGAGTCAGTCTGTCATTGTATCTGGGGAATCAGGAGCTGGCAAGACAGAAAATACAAAATTTGTTCTAAGGTGAGTATTCAGTTACCCTGCAATATTTTGGAACAGGGTAATATTATTTTGGAGGTTAAAAACACATAACATAAAATTTGCCACCTTAACCTTTTCTGAGTGTGCAGTTTAATAATGTTACGTACATTCACATTGTTGTGTAGCCAGTCTCCAGCATTTTCATCTTGCATAACTGAAGCTCTGTGCCCATTAAATAACAACTCTGCCTTTCTCATTCCCCAGCCCCTGGCAACCCCCGTTCTACTGTTTCTGTGAATGTAACTACTCTAGGTAGCCCAGATTCGTGGGATCACATAGTATCTTTCTAGGACTGCCTTGTATCATAAAAAATTTCTCAGACAAAGAAGTAGAAACAGCAAATAAACATGAAAAAATGTTTAACATCGCTGGTTACTCGAGAGATGCAAATGAAAACAACGCTGAGATTCCACTTCCAGAAAGAATGGCTGGTATCGACTGGTGCAACCACTGTGGAAATCAGTATGGGGATACCTCAAAGAACTAGGACTAGAGGTCCTATTTGACCCAGCTATTCCCCTGCTGGGTACTTCCCAAAAGAATTAAAAGAATCTTACCACAGCGATATATGTGCACCCATGTTTATAGTGGCACAGTTTGTAATAGCTAAATCTTGGAAACAGCTCAAGTGCCCATCAACTGGAAACTGGATAAAGATGTGGTTTTTTTTTTTATAAAATGGAGTACTACTCAGCCATAAAGAATGAGAAACTAGAGACATTTATAGCTAAATGGATGCACATTGAGGCCATACTCTTAAGTGAAATAAATAGGACACATGTGTAAATACTGAATAGTTGCTCTGGTGTGAGAAACTGAAAGTGTAAATAAGGATTAAAATGAATAATTGATAATTTGAAATAGGAAGAAAAGGTCCAGATGGGTAGGGGAAGTGGGAGGGGAAGGGGAAAGGAGAGAAGGGCAAGGAAAAATTATGAGAAAAGGAAAAAATGCAAACAAAGTCTTTGTAAATAGGGAAGGATGGAGGGGGTGAAGGGCGGACAGGTAATGGGGAAAAAATAAGAACCAAGATGCATCATGTACAGCTACAAGTACCTAGTGATAAATGTAAACGTATTGTATACCTAAAATGTACCAATAAAAGAATTTAAGAAAAAACGAAAGAATGGCTGCTATCAAGAAATCAACCAATAACAAATGCTAGTGGGGTTGTGGGGGGAAAAGAACCCTTCTCCATTTTTGTTGGGAGTGCAGACTGGTGCAACCACTGTGCAAATCAATATGGAGATACTTCAAAAAACTAAGATTAGAGGTCCAATTTGACCCAGCTATTCCCCTGCTGGGTATCTTCTCAAAAGAATTAAAAGAATCATGTCACAATGCTATATGCAGACTCATGTTTATAGCAGCACAGTTTGTAATAGCTAAAACTTAGAAACATCTCAATTGCCCACAACTGGAGACTGGATAAAGAAGATGTACTTTTTAAAAAATAAAATAAGAGCACTACTCAGCCATAATGAATGAGAAACTAGAGACATTTATAGCTAAATGGATGCACATTGAGGCCATACTCACAAGTGAAATAAATAGGACATGCATGTGTAGATACCGACATTTCTCTAGTGTGAGAAAATGAAAGTGTGAATGAGGATCAAAATGTATAATAGATAATGTGAAATAGGAAGAAAAGGTCCAAAGGGGAAGGGGAAGGGGAAGTGGGAGGAGTAGGGGAAAGGAAAGAAGGGAAAGGAGTGAATATGAGAAAAGGAAAAAACAGAAACAAAGCATTTGTAAATAGGGAGGGGTGGAGGGGTAGAAGGGAGGGCAGGGAAATGGGGAAAAAAATAAGAACCAAGATAATATTATGTAAAGGTACAAATTCCCAATGATGTATACTGTATACCTAAAATGTACCAATAAACTTAAAGAATTAATAAAAAAAGATTTCACCCATGTAATACATGTCCCATGTTATAGTATGTGTTAGAATTTCTTTCCTTTTAAAGGCTGAATAATATTCCACAGTAGGTACATACTACATTTTGTTCCTCCACATCTTTGTTGACAGACATTTGGGTTACCTCCACCTCTTGACTATTGTGAATTGTGTAGTTATGAACACAGGTGTGCAAATATTTCAGTAGTTTGACTTTTTTTCTCAGCAGAAGTATTTATTATTCATGTGAACAGCTGTACAAAAATGGTATCACTCAATTTGCTTAGCACATATTCATTTATAGCTAATTCTGAATAGCACGCTGTTACATATTTTAAGTGACTCATGTTCTACGTAGAATGATACTCCTTTAAGAACATGAGCTATCTGGAAAATTAATGAACAGGAAGAACTTTTTACATATTGGAATTCTAGCAACCTCTGCTTACTAAAACTCTGCTGATTTTGTTTTATATCTGGTCTTTATTGTTATGTAATCATTACTGTTGATAGCAGAAAATTTCCTAAGATGATCAAAAGTACCCATTTAATCCTGGGATCTGATAATCAGCTGACAGGAAGTAGTGCTATTCCCTGGTTTCTCACTAGGTTGACTTTTAATATATTTGCATACTTTAGGGCATAGTTTGGAATGGTAGGCTCTATCATTTTAAAGAAACAAGCACTTTTTATGGAAGCTAATCCGTAGGTTGTTTAAAGTCAGCTCTGAGACTTGAGGATCCTGGAAGAGATCAGTGCTGGTTAAGCAAAAGGAAATCTAGGAATGCTCCTTCAAAACCCAGAATCCAAAAGGATATTATGCTCTTAATGTTCCTTATGTTCGTGTGTTTGAGATCATTTTTTACTTTGAGTTTCTGACAGCTGCCTTTTAGTTTCTACCTCCCTACACTTTCTCCTAGCCTATCTCCTGTGCTGCCATCAGACCCTTCACACTTTGCTTAAAATCCGAGCATTTAAAAATGAGAGGAGCTCCCACACTCATAGTTTAGTTCTTATGTACCCAAAGAAATTAACCTGGTGGTGACACTACTGCTAGGAACAGGACATGCTTAAATTTCACCAGTATTACCACTGTGTTATTTGAACTTATTACAGTTCTTGGTTGATTGCTGCACAGTGGGACCTTCTTTGAAATTTAGTTTTTGCTATATAAATGTGTGTGCTACTCAGAGTTATTTATGTAAAACCAATTGAAGAGTTTGTTAATGCCCCTTATGTATATACTGTTCTCGTTAAATGACTATGTTCCAATATTCTTAGATTTCTAGGTGGTTCAATCTCTTATTCTTTTCTGTCCTACAGGTAATAGTCAATGGTAAATCTGTGGTGAATATACAGAAATGAATACAAAAAGATAACTATAAACTTGTATATTTCTGTTATAACTCAATGGTTTCTGTGTGTTTTGAAATATGCCAGGCAAATAGTTGTTCTGTTGTATCTTACCGGTTAGTGTAATAATTCTAAGAGTGGTAACTGTCCAGTTGTTCAGTGGCAGATTACCTTATTTTCTGTAGCCATAAAGATTGAATTAATTGGCTGTTGCAAAAGGCTTTGAAATTTCATAGGTGATGAGTATTTCCATGTGAAATGAGTGATATATTTAAAACCAAATATGTTAGTTGGTTAAAATTAGAATATTTCTAAAAACAGCTTAAAAAATAGCTGATTTAGATGTTAAAGACAATTTAAATAGAATTTTAAATAAATTTAAATAAATTTAAAGCTATAATAAAATATATTTGAACATAAATTTGTAAGTTTCAGTTATAAGGATGATACAGGTTTTAGTTTTATATGTACTAAAAAATACTAAAATTATAAATATATGGTATGCAGTATTACTGCATTCTAATTGTTTTTTTTTTGATCTTATGTTTTAAACAGATACCTGACTGAATCCTATGGGACAGGTCAAGATATTGATGATAGAATTGTTGAAGGTATTGTTTATTTTTATTTTCTGTCGTTTAGCATGTGTTGAAATTCACTAATAAGGATATTTTCAGTGGTCTGGAAAGATCTAGAGATGCAGAAGACTCCCCCATCTCCTACAAGTCTTTGCTCAAGTGTCATCTTCTCCCTTATTATCTCTCATCGTCTGCTTACTCCACATAAATACTAGAAGGCAGGGATTTCTGTTTGTATTTTATGCCCCTAGAATAGTACATAATGCATAGTATACATACCCACTGAATGAATGGAGGAAAGGAAACTCTTTGGCTTCCTGTTTGTTTTTTGGGTCTTGTGTTTCTGTAAAGAAGGAAAGAGGGCACATAATTATTTGGTGTAGAGGTGCTTTTTTGGGAAAAGTTTTAACCAGAGTGTCCTCTCAGCAGGAAGGAATGTGTGAACTGATTTCCTTAAGCTGTCCTTGTTTGCAGACCACTTAGAAAGCTCCTTGCATCCCAGTTTGGAGCCAGTTGGCCTAGACCGTTGTCATGTTGAGTCAGCACTCCTCTCTGCTCTGCTCACTGCTATGCTTGCTGCTGTCCATTCCCTTTGGAAGTGGGATAAGCTCTTTTGCTTTCAGTCTTTTAACAACTTTGTATTGCTTTCGTGATAATGCTCCAGAACCCTACTCTTAGCTACACTGCACTCCTCAGCCTGGCCCCAGGCCCTCTCATCTGGTCTCAAGTTTTTGTTCCTCTATATCATTGTGCTTTAGTGCTGCTGATCTTCTTACAGGTCCTGGGGATATTTTAGGCTTCTCTATTTACTCTTCCTTTTCTCCTCTTCCCTTGTGTCCCTCATGATGTATTCAGTTTCACCCTTAAAAATTGAATAAATAAAAAACCATTATGAGTTAACTCAATAAAAGACTAGTATTCTGATTTATTTACTTGAGAATTGAATATAAGCCTGATTTCTTCTGTGGCAATGTGCTATGTAGTGTATAGTGTGTTCTAGTTGAGAAAAGTTGAAAAGTGTTATTCTAAATGTTCCTGCAGCCTTGTAGTAGATGTAGCTGGATGGTTACAGAATTGTTGGATACATTCATAATGAAAATTCACTTGTTTTGGGAACGTGTTTATTATTAATAGGATAATTAAATGCGATTTTCTGATGGAGCATTTCTTATCCCATTTTTGGATAATTTATGTATATTAAATTTTTAATAAATTATTTTGTAGGTCATTAGGGAGTTTGGGAGGCCTGGGATTGAGTCCTTTTTCAGGCACCAGCAAGTCCTTGGTCCTTTGAGAATTAGTTGACCTTACTGGCCCCAGTTTTCTTGCCCATCTGAAAAGTAGGATATATGCTAACACTTTTTGTAGTTTTAATACTTTCTAAATTATTTTGGCAAGTGAAATGGCTAATGATCTTTAAAAAGGGTTGAAGACTAGCTTTCTGGCATGGAAAGAATAAGGAAAATGGACTTTAAAGGGCTTCATAGGAAATATTTGGATGATTTATGAAGCAGTTGAGGTTGATGGTGAAGAATATGTAAGATTAATACTAATGTGTGTTTAGAATTGAGACTTTGGTGAGTACAAGTGTAGATTCTAGTAACTCTTATCCAGTCAGTGGGATTATAAGAAAATAACTTAAAACCACTCTGAGAACCTTTCTGAATTTTATAAACTTCTAATTTGTTAAACTGAATTGGATATGTATATAAAAATGTTTAATCTGGAGGTTATAACAACATATAAATATTTTAGAAAAGTAAGTTAAGTAATAACTTTCTTGCTTGTATTTTTGCTATTTTATCCGTTATAATCAGTAGTCCTCTAGCGTTGGTGTACTTGTTACAACTGTGAATGTCATAGGGAGTAATTTTAAAAACTGAATTCTAAGTTTTGTAACCTAGTGACTTTTAGAAATTTAGTCTTTCCTATAACATTGACATTTTCTTTTCATATATTTTGAGTAATTTTTCCATTTCTTATTCTTGAGTAGTACCTGAACATAGTGGGTAATCATTAAATATTTGTGAACTTTTACATTGTATAATTTCTCCATATTAATATTTTTTAGAATATGTATCCAGTATTTTTCTAAGGAGATATACTATAAATATCATTTTGTAACTTTCTTTCATGTTCATTTATTGATAGATGTTTTCATTTCTTTCTTAATAGCTAATCCACTCTTAGAAGCCTTTGGAAATGCAAAGACTGTTCGCAACAATAATAGCAGTCGATTTGGAAAATTTGTAGAAATACATTTCAATGAAAAGGTAAGTGAAAGCGAGTTTTGGAATGATATGTTTGGGTAGTGATAATGGAAAATATAAGCATCTTATTAGAATCTGTCCTGTACTGGAACTCAGGATGAATTCCTTGAATTGTTTTTTGGTTACTTTTTTTTTCCTCTCAGTACCAGGGATCGAACTTGGGACCTTGTGCTTGCGAAGCAGGTGCAGAGCCACTGAACTAAATCCCCAGCCCGTTTTTGGTTACTTTTGATAGGAGAATATATGTTCACTATGACTATCCAAAGCTCTTTTCACTGTTTATAACCCAAATCCTGGATTTGACTGCATCATCGAGTACTAATTGATATTTATTCTTTTTCCTCCATAATTTATTCTTTTGTTGTTGTCTTGATCAACATGCTAGTAACTGTACATATTTAAAGAGTGCATTGTGATATTTCAGTAGTGTGTACCAGTGAAGTCATAGTAATGAGTGTTTTCGTCCCCTTCTCAGTCCTTTGTTTGGAGCTGTGAGCTCCTGTCTTCTAGTTCCTCCCGTCTAGAACGGGCCATGGTGGAGACATGCACTGAGGCACAGTGCAGTCAATTCTGATTCTGTAGGGACTCGAAACTTAGAAGGATCTGGGTTGGAGACCACATGAAGATGTTTAAAGTGAAGGTGACCTCTGAGCTCACATTTCGTTATGCTTTTCCCTCTGTATTTGATGAGTATTGCAATCTCTTTGATAGACTGATGTTTATTAGAAATGATAAATAATTTAACATTGTGTTCTGCTTTAAGAGTAAATGGAAAAATGTATTTTTTCTCTATTTTGATTTTTAGAGTTCAGTTGTTGGAGGATTCGTTTCACATTATCTTCTAGAGAAGTCTAGAATCTGTGTTCAAGGCAAAGAGGAAAGGAATTACCATATCTTTTATAGGTTGTGTGCCGGTGCTTCTGAAGATATTAGGGAAAAACTTCATTTGAGCTCCCCAGATAATTTTCGGGTAGGTTGGAAAAAAATAAATTTCACACAGTGCTTGCAAATTGAGTTGCCTTCATCCCGAAAACTTAATTTAGTGGATTTTGAAACCTAGGTGTGTGTGTTGAAAACTTATATTACGTCAAGCCTAGCTGGCCCTCTGTACCTTCTACCTCTGTGGGTTGGAAGTGTCACTGGGATGAAGGGTGAGGGGCGGGAGGCTGTGACTTTGCTCAGTCTGTACATTAGTACAACAACTGTTTACTTAGTGTTGACATTTTATTAAGTATTTTAATAATCTAGAGGTGATTTACAGTGTATATCAGAAGATATGTGTAGGTTATATACAAATAGTCTACCATTTTATGTAAGGCATTTGGGTATCTGCAGGTTTTGATGTCCAGTATCCATAGTGGGTCAAGGAATCGATCCCCCTGGATGCTTAGGAATGGTTGTATGATGTGCTAGAATGATTGCTATACCAAAGAGCTCTCTATTAAGATTCATTTCTGAGTTTATAGTACAGGTAGTTGAGCATCTCTCATCTGAAAACCTCAAATCTAAAGCATTTCAAAATCTGATTTTGAATTTTGAGATTAGGAAAACTCAACTAGAAAATATATACAGATGCTCCAAAATTAAAAAAACTCCAAAATCTGAAACACTTGTTTCAAATATTTCAGATAAGGGATACTAATGTATAGTACTATATGAGAAAGTATAAAATGCAGTAGCTTAAAGGATAGCTGTTAAGCCCCATTTTAATTTAAACTTAATTAGAAATTTATAATAGTTCAGTAATACTGCCTTTAAAGTTACCTTTGACTTACACTGAATTAATATTAATAAAAGACATGTGGTTATATGCCTTAATTCACTTCAATAACATATTTATTTCCTGCCCGTTAGGTACCAGGCATTGTGCCAGGATTAAAAAGATAAGATGCAACCCTTGTTCCTGAGCACCTAGATTGTTGTGGGAAATGCACACAAGCGTCTGCCTGATCTATTGAATAAGAAAGAAGAATATGTAGAATGATGTATAGCCTACAATGATGTGGTAGAATGATGTGGTACCTAGGGTTATTGAAAGGCTTACTGAAGAATGAATTATTGGATCACAATCCTGAAGGATTTTCAGATGTTCAGTAGGTGAAGAAAGATGCAAAAGGTATTCCTGGTGGATGCCAAAAAGATGAACAAAGAAAGGCAGGAAACATATTAAGGAGTAAGGCAGGAAGTAGTGGGAGAGAGACTAGAGAGCTACTTGAAGTGCTTGGATAGAAAGACACCAAATTTGTGCTTGTCTTTAACTTTAGTATGGAGGATGGTTTTAAGGGGAGGGAATGGATAGAAATTGAAATCATTGGTAGATTGGTTAGGAACTGTAGTTGAAGCAAGAGTTGCTAAAGTGCCTAAATTGGTTTAACAATGACAGAGTTATAGAGGAGGAACTGTGCAAGATATTAGAATGTAACATTGATAGGACTTCAAGATTGACTGTAATAAGGAGAAGGAGGAGTGTAGAATAGTTTTTTAAAATTTGACTCAGATAACTGGGTGGATGTAAATACCACTATTGGGTCAAGAGGTAAGGTTATGGCATAGAGAATGCATTCAGTTTTCTTCTATGTGGAGATACCTAGAAGACAGAAATACTAATGTGAAGTTTGGTAGATTCCAGTACTCAGGTGATAGATGGCAGTGAGTGCATGAGATTGTCCAGGCATAATGTAGAGAAACATGTGGCAGGATTCGAGCTCTGGAGCTGATAGGGATAAACAGACAAAAAGTTGCCCAGGAAAGGCAGCACATTTGGAGGGAAGTATGAGGAATGTGGAGAATCACAAGCCCAGGGAGTAGAGTATTGAGAAGTGATGGTTGGGATGGTTAACATAATGTACAAAATCTCAGAAAATTGCATTCCTGTACAGTGCTGTGACTGTCGTGGAATGGAAATGAGGGATGTAGTTTGTGCCAAGTTCCCAGGTGATTCTGATAGTCCTCTTTGGGTGAGAATGGTCTATTTGAGAACCATTACACACTTATTATTACATTTAATTATTACTTTCTGTGTTTGTTTTTGCAGACAGTTTCTCTTTCACTTCAAGTAGCTTCTTTTAAATGTATTTGGAAATTTTAAGAATCATCTTTGCTTTGTAAATGCATCTCTTTATGTCCTTCTAAAATGTCCACCCTTGACTAGAAGTCTCCATATTAACCACTTAGCAGTCCAATTACTTAAATACGGGATGACCAAAAATTGCATATTTTTTCATTAATTTTTATAAGATAATATAACAGGAAATATAAGAACGACAATTTTATCAGATGTATTCAATAATTTTTCTGTGTATGGTATATCTTAAAACATTCAACACCTGCCCGAGCAACACTTGGGATAGTCAATACATAAATGCGCTGCCCAAGTGATGTTTGAGTAAACTGTGAAGTGGTTAATTGGAATTTGAAGTTAGTTGCTAACATTTTTGTCTTCATGAAAATAGAGACAGTTTCTCCTATTGTTTTTAGAAAAGGAAAATAATTTACTTTGAATCATATAACCAATCATAACAATGACCTGGCTTTGTCAACCCATTGAGTTTCTCACCTTTGTAAAGTGAGGCAGCAGGCGTGATTTCCTTTGTTCAGGACACTCCTCAGGATAGGCAGAGTGGGAGAACTTACACATTCCTCTCGTGTGAGCATACAAACTCTCCTTTCTCCCCTTCCCCAAATAATTCTGCTTTAAGTAGACTTGAAAGTGTGGATAATTTTATCAGTTTTTCTACAGTTAAGCTTTCTAGTTACACCTGATATCATGTATACAAAGGAGAGGTCTATAGTAGGGTGTATGCTTCTAAAATTGTTGAATTTTTTTGTCATTATTTTATCCAAATTGGCACATAAAGAATTTTAGAAATACACTTGTTTGGAAAAATTTATCTTAACTACACATGCACTGTATTTTAGAAAATAAAAGATTTTAAATGCTCATCTTATTAGAAGTTTTAAAATATTTTTCACATTTTATGGAAGAGTTTGCTATAGTGGTACAAACATCCTTGAATATAATGAAAGCTGGATAGAGTATGAGTGGCAGGAATAGTTAGTTTTCTAATGTAGCTAAGATGGAAGAAGCAAGTATCTTTCTGGGTCATTATGTTTGTGGGGTGCTGGGGCTTGATCCTGGGCCCTCTACAAGGACTAATGCTAGTTGAAACTGTCTATAATTCAAATAGCAGAGTGAAATATTAGCATTAAACACTTTCTAGCAAGTATAACTTTTGGCCTTATGTTACAGTTATTCTATTAAGTAAGAAGAAGCAGTCAATTGAAAATGCTTACCAGTCTTATATTTCCTCTCTTTTCTTTTTAGCTTAAAGATTCAGGGAAGAAAAAAATTGTGATGTCTCTGTCTGATTTTGCTGTATTTTAGTATTTAGTTATAGTGGAAGGGGAGAGACAGATTGATCACCTAAAATTGACCATCTATAAAATATTTATCCCATAAATTATTCAAATTTATAATAATTTTTTCTGGTGTATATATGTGGTATTTTTTAGTCTTGCAATTCATGCTATTTTATAGTGGAATCCTATTGACCTGATTTAAGAGAAGCCAGTGTTTAAAAATGTTTTTTCCATTCTATTTTCTGTATATTTCCTTCCAGACTCCTTCATAAATGTGAGTAATAGGTTCTGTTTGTGACAGTATGTGACAGATTGAGTAGCCTTTATCTAAAATGATTGGGACCAGCAGCATCAGAGTTTTCTGGGTGTGTTGGCACATGTCTGTGATCTCAGCACTTGGGAGGCTGAGGCAAGAGGAGTTTGAGCCCAGCCTGGGCTACATAGTAAGTTCAAGGCCAGCCTGAACTACATAGGGAGATCCTATCTCAAAAAATAAAACAAAAAGTCAGAGTTTGGAGTTTTTTGGATTTTGGAGTATTTGCATAGACTTTACCAAGTGAACATCCTAATATAAAAATCTGAAATCTAAAGCTCAACCTCTATTTTCATCCAACAGCTTTCTTTGTTCTATGTTTTATGATGTGCCTTTTTTTTTGGTACCAGGGATTGAGCTCGGGACCTTGCGCTTGCAAGGCAGGCGGCAGGACCATTGAGCTAAATCCCCGGCCCCTGTTCTATGTTTTAAAAGCATTTAGGTTTAAAATGCTTTGGGGAAGCAGTGTAAATAATTGAAATAAGCAAACTGAAATATTTGATCCATAAAGCGCATACTGTAATTTATAAATAGTCACTGTTAATTGTCAGTAAATGTGAAAGACATTTTGAAGAATGTAGTCTAAATTTCAGAAATTAAGAAATGAAGATGGTCCTTAATTTTTCAAATTCAAGATATTACTTGAAGTATAAATAAATCATCATGTGCAGCCTTATTTGAGAGTTACGTATTTCATGGAAGGTGATTTTCATTATTATCTGTAGTGCTTAATGTTATGAACTATATTTAAAAAAAGATGCTTGAGACTAGAAGATGTAAAATTGCAGCCCTATTAAAGTAGAGGATTATGGGTATTGATCTTTATTTTTTAAATTATTATATTTAATCTACTTTCAAGGGTTAGGAATTTTAAATATTTTTGTTTTATTTGTAGGATTAAAATGCTTATAAAATATAGAAGTATTGATTTTTTTATAGAAGTATTGATTTTAATTGAGACTAATACTTGTGTTTAGAAATTCATTAAGTTGACACTATTTGATAAATTGTGTTTTCTTTTGTATTATTTCTCTGTGGATCATATATGTTAATAATATTTAAATTTCTTTGTCATAGTATTTGAACCGAGGCTGCACTAGATACTTTGCTAACAAAGAAACTGACAAACAGATTTCACAGAACCGCAAAAGTCCTGAGGTACAGTAGACTGTTTTTTAAAAATTGATATCCTCAATGCAGAACCATGCTGCAAGAAACATTTTTACTGCGGAGCCCAGATAAGATTTCATACTTTTAGGGTTATCTGTGCAAAGCCTCAGTCCCCCCTCTGTCAGGCCCTGCTTGCCTCGTGCCGTGTCACTCGGTGGCATGTGCGGAGCTGCAGAGCTTTCCTCTTACCCTCTCACCCAGTAATCATCATCTGGTAGATGTTGAAGCTGCCTTTTTTATTGCCTGTTTGGGATTAAGTGTGAAATATGTCTTTAATTTATTGTCTGCTTCAAGGCTGGAATTAAGTTTGAAACCAGCAAGAAATAGACTAAACATTCTTGTGAAAGGGTGTTTATGTGTGATAGTTTCTTTGTTTAAAACATTACGTTCTGGAATATATTATGAAAAGTTTTGTATTTTGGTCTTGCTAAATTATTCTAAGAGTAATTAACTATAATTATACATTAAGTATTACTTTAAAAAAGAGGAGGCAGGGGGCTACACCACTGAGCTAAATGCCCGGTCTCAATAAGACTATACTTTTAAAAGACATCAAAAATGTAGAAGTTATGTTCTTCCCACTGAGATGATCAAGACACTTCCTAGGACATTGCAGCTGTCCGAAAGGACAAAATACACATTTTAGACATATATAAAAATAGATAAATATAGAAAATTTTATATATGAATGTGATCTTTTGGCATAGAAATTAGAAGAAAGGACAGAAAACCAGCATGTGCTCCCCAGAGAGGAAGTGCATTCTTTCTTCTTCTAGAGTCAGATACTGTGTCAGAAATCTTATTCACATTACTGAGACAGGGAAGTGGGGGTTGAGGGAGAGAAAGGGAGAAAGAAGGTGAGAGAAAATGGGTGTGTATATTATATGCAGTTGAACAGTGCATTAATAATGTTTAAATTACTTTTTATGTCTTCTTTATCAGGAGGATGAGGTGATCATTTGACTAATTAAATCTTTCCCTAATTTCATTTGAATGTCTTTACGCTGTGTGTAATTTTTAGGAGGATGCAGTATTTTTAGTCTGCCATACAGCAAATGTATTTATTAACATTTGATTAGAAACAGTTTTTTAACTGAAGCAAATATTCCATTGCAAACTAAAAATTCTGCATGTGTGTTTTTTGCTAACTCTGGCTGCATGTGATTGTTTCCTTTGCTTCTTTCTAAGAATAAATTGGAATTTCATGTTTTAGACATTTTCCAGAAATTTCACACCTAACTGAACATTTTAAAGAATTTTGTGGGCTGGGGACAGTGGTGGCAACATGCCCATAATCCCAATACTGTGGAGACTGAGCCAGCAGAATCACAGATTTGAGCCCAGCCAGGGCGACTCAGATCCTGCCCAAAAATAAAATAAGGGCTGGGGATGTAGAAGGCCCTGGGTTTAACCCCCAGTGCTGCAGAAAACAAGAACAAACCAGGAAGAAAAAAATAAAAAGAATTTTGTGGAAAGACGATTACAACTTTAGCTGTGAAGAAAAAAACTTGTTACTTGTTTACTGCTAAGAGAAAAATATCTGGAGGCAATTTTAATGCTAATTAATGGTGATGCTGTTTCCCTATTTTTAACTTCTTCATTCTCAAGTTCTGGAAAATTCCTAGACTATTTATTATTTATTCTGCGTCCAATAACTTTTCATGTTTCTCTTGCTAGCTTTTGCAGGCCTAATCTTCATCTTTTTTTCTGAGTTTTTGTAGGTTCTAACAGATGAATACTTTAGATGCAAGTTCTTTAGGAGAGAAAACATCTTTTCTTCATTTTTTTCTGAAATGTTCTAAGTTGTTGTATGAGTTCTTAGAGTAATCATACCCTTAGTAATATACTTTGCCCTACATGTATTTACATGAAAAGGTTAAAAGAAATTCTCTGGCCCCCAACCTACACCACTGCCCACTGCATGCTTCTGTTTAACATTGGTGTAGTTGGTGGCAGTTAACCTAAAGTAGTGTCATGCGAATAGTCAGATTTAAATTTTTATTATAAGTTTAACCTGTTTTTTGTTTATTTTTAATTGACAAATGAAAATTGTATATATGTATAAAATATATTAGGGCACATTGTACTCTTTTGGTATTGTATCAAATTGTGAAATAATTAAATTATTGGGGTTTTTTTGGTACCAGGGATTGAACTTGGGACCTTGCACCTGCAAGGCAGGTGGTCGCACCACTTGAGCCAAATCCCCGACCCCAATTAAATTATTGATATATGCATTACTACCTCAGTTCTTTATAATCTGAGGATGTTCATTTCAACCATAGATATTTCCTCCTTTTTCTCTGAATTTATATCTTTATCTAATAGCCTGGAATTACAATGCTTTAAGAGTTAAAATTCTAACTTAATCACAAATCATCTCATTCCTTCTTTTAATTGAAAGTTTTATGGAAATATTTATCAATTTCACATGCAGTTTTAAGAAAAACTAAATAGAGGTCTAGTGTTCACTTTTAGTCAGTTTTAGAATGTGCTAGAAAATGATTGTTTTTCCCTTGACAGATTTTATTTTTGCATGTTCTGTATTGCAGTAATAGATATGTTACATCATTTCTCATTTGCTAGGTAATGTTAAGACCAGTTAATTGATATCTTCTTGTCCTGTAGTATCTTAAGGCAGGCTCCTTGAAAGATCCCCTGTTAGATGACCATGGAGATTTCATTCGAATGTGCACAGCCATGAAAAAAATTGGCTTGGGTGACGAAGAAAAGCTGGATCTATTCCGAGTTGTAGCTGGTGTCCTGCACCTTGGAAATATTGATTTTGAAGAAGCTGGCAGCACTTCAGGTTTTGTTTTGTTCTGTTTTAGAGGAACAAAGGTAGCATTTCTGTCATTTCTTGGTCGTATGAAAATCAAATCTAATATGCAGGTTTGTTAAAATTTCTAGAAATTTCTAGAATATATTGTGTTATATGATGAATCTGGCAAATTAAATGCTTCATTGTGAGCTTTGTTTTGAACAGACAGTAGCTCTTACTAATAGGGTCATATTTAGTTAAATTTTCCAACTAAATTATACTTTTAATAATTAACAGATTAATTCTCTATCATCAACTAAGATGTTTTTGAAAATTTTCTGGTTCACTGTCTAAACTTGGATCAATTAATTCATCAAGACAGTGTAATATGTAAAAGCCCATGTACTTAATTGGGTGTGGTACCTCATGGCTGTAATCTCAGCATTCTTGGAGGCTGAGACAGGAGGATTCCAAGTTCAAGCCCAGCATGGGCAATTTAGGGATTTAGCAAGAGTCTGTTTAAAATAAAAAATAAAAGAGGACTGAGAGTGTAGTTCAGTGTAAAGGCCCTGGGTTCAATTCCTTAGTAATGGGAAATGAGAATAAATTAAATTTTTCATTCTTAATGGAATTTGGAGAGTATCTAAATACCTAGTGAAGAGTGACTTTTCTGCTCTTATGTTTCAGTTTCTAATAAACAGTAGGACTTTGCCAGAGTCTAACTGTGATCCATGAAGGCAGGATTGGCAAACGATGGCCTGGGAGCCTTGTCTGCATCAACACTTGTTCTTATAAACACAGTGTCCTGGAACGCAGTCACACTGTCCGTCCAGAGATGTTGTGTCTGTGCCGCCTCTCACGGATGGCACACCGAGTAGTTGCCACATGGATGGCACGCATCCTGCAAAGCCCAGAATATTTACCACCTGGCCCTGTAGAGAAAAAAGATTGTCAGCCTGCATTAAGGCATTGCTCAGAATTTTATACTAAGATTGAGTTAGAGACAACCTGTGGCACCACCTCATGTAGCGGTCCAGGAATGTGGGTTTCTGTGTCAAATCCCGAGGCTCCTTGAGCCTTGATTTGATTTTCATTTACAAAACGAGATAATCCATTAGAAGTGCTTTGAAAATAAAAGACCTGGCAAGAATATGCCTCAAGGGGCACTCAAGGAAAAAGGACATTTCAAAGTGTGTCAGGGATGGGACTGTCTCAGCAGTAGAGCACTTGCATGGCATTCTTGAGGCCCTGGGTTCAAACCCTGGGACTGCTGAAAAGAAAAAAATAAGTCCACTCTGTGCAGGACTCTCCATAGTCTATATTTCGTGTAAAATAAAACCATAATTGAAATGTTATAGAAATAATGAGGGAAGTGATATCATTTCCATTTTGCAGAAGTGGAACCTATGCAGAATTTAAGTAATGTGTGTGATTATTGATGGTATTTTAGGTGTGCAAGCTTGGTTCTACCCCAGCCTGACTCGTGATAATTGTCCCTTAGTGCCCAGGCTACTGTGGCTTGTGATCTGTGGGTGAGCAGACCGAAATAGACAGTCTTAATGACTTTCAGATTTAGTATCCTGTGAAATCAGTAATGTGGGAGACAGGCAGCATAGCAGATGAGTGCCTGTGCTCTTGAGTCAGATTGCATCGCCATGCCCCGGCTGCTGGGTGACCTTGGGAAGGAATTTAACCTCAGTTTCCTCACTAAAGGGATAATCAGAGCCCCTACCTCAGGTTGTGAAGATAATAGATGAGCTAACTGTTTATTCAGTGATTCACATACTTGTGTTTGGCACATTGTAATCACAGTAAAGGCTGTGAACGAATAAAGATTAGTCCCTATTTAAAATGAAAAAAATTCAAGCAAAATTAGGTTATTTGAAAATGTGCTTTAAATTTTATCAGTTTTTTAGAGTAATTGGTAAATTCATTTTGAAAGTTCAATGAATGTTAATGTGCATTTCATTTGTTCTTTAGTATTGTTATATGAAGGAAGGGTGCATTTGAGAGACTGAAAGCAATACACAAAAAAGATTTTGAGTGTACAGAAATGAACACGCTTGGAAGCATTAACACACTTGGAGAGGATAGGTGGCATTTTTATGCCAGGAGTTTGTGATAATTGTCCCTTACTCTCCCAGACTACTGAGCCTTGTGACGGGCGATCTTATGATTGCCCTGTGGTGGATCATGTCAATGTATACAGAGTATCACAGATGTCACATGGTCCAGTTAGTTGAAGAAAACTTAATAATCAAAGAGACATGGCACATTGTCCCTTATTTTTCTTCTCAAAGTTCCTTCTGTTGCAGGAGAGATGAGAATCGGAAGATTGGAATAAGGCAGTAGATCAAGAGAATTAATAAACTGGATTATTTTAATTTAAAATAGCTAAGGTTTTATTATATTAATTCTAATCTTTCCTATAACTCCTCCCATAGGTCCAAATGATTTCTTAAATTAGAACTGGTTTCCCTCCCTCCCCCAGAGAGCTCAATTTTGGCATGTCCTACTACTTTGGAAAAAAAGAACTCAATATTTTTATAATTATTTTATTGGAAAGTTTATTTTTCATAATAAGACCATTAACAGTCATTTTAAAAACCTTCTGCATGATGGAAAGGTAGAATGTACCTATTGGGACTGCCTATGGTTTTAAAATTCTCTGTAATGAAAATGTATGTTATTATAACATCATATTTTAAAAATGTTCAAAGAATTTTTTTGGAAAGGCAGTGACATGAAGACCTTACATTATTTTATAGCCTCTTCCCTTTTTAAGGCTATTAAAAAACCCCAATTGTTTTCTTATCTTAGCATTCATAATTCCTGGAGATATATAAGAAACTTTGCAATATGGTGAAAAAGATATATTTAAATGAATTATTGGCAGTGACCTTTTTGAGAATGATGTAATTTTAGCATGAATGCACTAAACAGTGGGATGATTCAGGTCCCTGGAGGGATGGCACAAGATTCTGTTATGATGCTTGGAAGGGGACAAATTTAAATCTTACTAGTTGTTTATTTCTGGGATTTTCCATGTGGTATTTTTGAGCTGCACTTGATGGCAGGTAGCTGTCCCTGTGGAAAGCAAAAGTGCAGAGCTGGGGTCTTTTGACTGTGTTATGGGAGGATCGGATGAGAGTGGGGAAAAGTGAGGTGGGTTTGAGAGTTCGAGTGTTCCATAGTTTTATATAAGTGAGGTTTAATTCTAAACTTAAAAGAATGGTTTAAATAATATGTATTAATTTCAAATTAAAATGTATTTTGTTAGGTGGGTGCAATCTGAAGAACAGATCTACTCAGTCATTGGAATATTGTGCTGAGTTACTGGGTTTGGACCAAGATGATCTTCGAGTAAGTTTAACCACGAGAGTTATGCTAACAACAGCAGGGGGCACCAAAGGAACAGTTATAAAGTAAGTTTCCTCACGTCTTGCTTTACCAAGTCTTGCCTTGCAGTTTGTTAAGGGAAAAAAATGTGTTTGAGAACACTGAGATTTCAGGTTGATCTTTTTATGTCACTCCTTTTTTTCATTTTAATATTTTAAAAGCTGTGCTTGGTAGATCAAAATTCTGTACATCTGACTCCAGCTATCTGCCACATAGAGGTTTGCAAAGTTGTTTTTTACAGATACGTATTCTACATGCACGGGTTTGGAATTTATAAGGCAAGAGACAGGTTTACACTTGGACGACTGTGAATATCTGACTGTTTCAGGCAGTAGGCAGTTTTACTTTAAAAGTGATTTTCCATGCAAATGATAAGAACTAAAACCTTTACTAAGTGGAACTCACTTCAGCAGAATATTCAGCAAATGGAATTTCTCCTTACTCCTGGAATTCTTCATTTAGAGGAAATTGCAAATGGCAAGTAAAGAAAGGGTCCAGCCTAGACTTTTAAAACCAACAACCAAGAGCTTCTAGATTATGCCAAGGTATATGTACAATTTGGGCTCAATATCCTATATCTTATGCATTTTTATATCTGGTATTGTAGAATGAAAATGGTATTTAGGCTTCATTTGTAAGGAAAAAGGTCAGGTCCCTCCATCCTTTGCGAAATAAGGCAGATTGAACCAATGACATTTCAGAAACACTTTAAAAAATTAAAACAAAGACTTTCTTTTAGTGGATGACATATTTTTGTTTTATTTTTTAAGAGACTGAGCCTGGTTAGTTTTCCAGGCTGGCCCTGAACTGTTGTGCTCAAGCAGTCCTCCTGCCTCAGCCTCCTGTGTAGCTGGGACCACAGGTGTGTGCCACCTCACCCAACTAAAGATTTTTTAAAGGCTTTCAAGCATTCAAAAATTTTGCTACCTCTTACACTTTTCGAGGTATTAGGAAGATGTGCTTAGTCTGATTTTTTCTGTTTTTGCTAATTCTAAATTATTATTAGCATGAAGAAAAGCTTTGCATGGAGTTTACAGTGCAGTGCCTGAGTCAGTCATCTTTTCATCTCTGTGACCGAATACCTCTGAAAAACAACTTGAAGGGGAAGGATATTTTGGGCTCACTTTCAAAGGTTTCAGTCTATGGTCAACCAGCTCCATTGCTCTTAGGCCTGTGGTGAGGTGGCAGCATCATGGCGGAACTGTATGGCAGGCGGCAAGCAGACAGGATGGCATGGGGTGAGACTTGGTCTCCGGTGTTGGTGTCACAGGCCCGTGACCCGCTGCCTCCCAACTGCACCCACCTGAGTTTCTGTACCTCTTACTGCTGCATCTGGCAGTGGTCCTGTCAGTGGGTTGGTCACGTCCCCCCAGCCCCGCATCCTGTGAGCACCCAGGACTCAGGACATCTCAGATCCATGCTGTCACAGGTCCTGCATCTGCTGGCTCCTTGAAATTCCCCTTGGGTTCTAGGGAAGGCCCAGAAAGGCCATGGAGGGTCCTTAGATTTTCACCCTTCCCAAGCAGTTCTGTATTTTCTGGTTGGGGTACCCACATGAAACTTGCTTTTATGGGTTCCATAACAGGAAATATAAGCAGGAAAGGCACTATTTAGTGAGGACTCCAGTGTCAGGCTGACCTAAATGAGTTTTAAAAATACCTTCAAGTTTCTCTTTTTTAGGGCAGAAACTTGACCTTAAGAAAGACAATGAACTGGTGCCCTGACTTCCCCTCTAAAGTGGGCCATCATTTTACTTGTGAAATGAGCCTTTATCTTCCTACCAGTTGGTGGGTCTTAGTCTTTCTCCTGTAAAGCAAGCCTAGAGTTTCTATAGATTGACAGATTCTGCCCCCAGAACACATAAGTGTCCCCAGTTCCAGACTGTAGCACCTCTATCTCTGGAGGACCCACGCTCTGTTTCAAACATGTTTTCTAAAGTCTTTATTTACATAATTTTTATTAGCACATATTTGCCATACATAATGATCATATTCATCATAAGGAATTTGTGCGTGTATATAATGTATCTTAATTCTTTTTTCCCAGTCCCCTCCCCTCCCTTCAGCCTTTCTTCCCTGCCCCAATGGGAGAAGCTTCATTTCCATTTTTTCCCTTCTGTTTTTTTAATCCCTTTCCCCTTCCTTCTCTCCCTGCCCTCTTGTTCCCCTCCCCATTTGAACATGTTTTTTCCTGCTTCCCAATATCTATCTTGTTTACCTTTTTGAGTTTTTCACACAAGAGAAACAATGTGATGTTTAAACTTACAGGTTTGATTTATTTCACTTAAAATTTTGGTCTTGAGGTGTATCCATTTACCTGCAAATGACTCAAATTTATCCTTCTTTATGGCAGAGTAGTACTGTATTGTATATAACCACACTTTCCTTATATATTTGATCTATTTATCTGTTGATCGGGATATGGGCTGTTTTTAAATTGTGCTGCTGTAAACACGGGTGTACACATATCTCTGTGGTATGATGCTTTTAACTCTTTTGGGAAGATGCCTAGAAGGGGAATACCTGGGTCAATTAGTTTTTTGAGGAATCTCCACACTGATTTCTATAGTGGTTGTGTCAATTTACACTCCCACCAACAATGGAGAAGGGTTTCCTTCTCCCCATAACCCCACCAGCATTTGTAACTGGTTGATTTCTTGATGATAGCCATTCTTTCTGGGGTGAGATGGAATCTCAGTGTTCGAATTTTTTTTTTTTTTTTTTAAGATTCTGCCTAACCTCTTTATGTCCCTTAAAAACAAAAAACAAATCTGACTTTTTTCCCCTTGGGCCTCCCATTGGGCCCCGTGCTTATCAATACACCATTTAGCCCTGTGTTGGGAGATTCTCTCTGTCCCAGTCTCTGCTCATGAGGTTATCATTTTCCTCCAGACAGCGGGCTTTGTATCTGCAGATCTAGTACTGTGGTACCGTGTAGTTAGTTATGTAGTAGAGTTGGGCAGTTCAGGTTTTCAGATAATGAACTTTTCTTTTTCCTAAACAAGGTAAGTAAATTATCAAAATTAAAAGTCATCTTGAATTAAGCAGTTTCTCTTGCACTTAAGGAAAGTCAGAAGGAAGATTATTCCTGAGTAGTTTTTACATACTCAACATGCAACGTGAAGTGTACAGCCTGTGGTTAGTTTACCCTGGGCTAGATGTCTGATCTGAAGTTAGCCGATCCTTTTAGGTCTGCTCATGCAGTTTTCTCCTTAGCCCCGTGCCCCTGTGCCCTCATGCGGGACTCTTGGGGCTGTGTCCTCATGATGCGTTTGTGCAGATGCTCCTGACTGGGCACCTGGCTCCCCTCACAGTGCCTGCCCCATGGGGATGCTCACTGGCAGTCTTTTCCTGCTTTCCTTCAGGGTCCCCCTGAAAGTGGAGCAAGCAAACAATGCCCGGGATGCCCTGGCAAAGACTGTCTACAGCCATCTATTCGATCACGTGGTGAACAGAGTGAACCAGTGTTTCCCTTTCGAAACATCCTCCTATTTTATTGGAGTTTTGGACATTGCTGGCTTTGGTAAGTACAGATTCTTTTGTGAGTTTGCATTTGTTTGGTATTTCTTTTCATATATTAAAAATACTTTTAAAAACTCTAATGTCTTTCACTTGATCTATTTTCAGTTATATGCTCATATCTGCCTCTCATAATATGCTTTACATAGGAAGTCAGTGCTCTTGTGGTCTCACCTCTTTTTTGTTAGTGTAGATTTGCTATTTGTGTTCGTAGGTTCCTTTTTGGCAGATCCGTGCGTGTACATAACCTACCCCTTCACTCTTCTTGTCCCACCTCACTCCTTAGTTTTATATTTTTTCCCTTTTTTATTAATGTATGTTTGGGATAGATACTAAACACATTCCAAACTGGTTCATGTATGTATTGCATCTTAATCATTTTTCCTTCTCCTTCTCCTACTTTTCCTCCTGTCTCCCTCATCCCTCAATCCCCTCCCCATCTCTGCAAAGTTTACCTCCCTGTTTCCTATCATCTAACTTTTATTTTGCATTTTAAATTATTTGTATTTTCGGTCTTATAGGAGAAACTATATTATATTTAATCTTCTGTGTCTGATATATTTCACGTAGCATTGTGGTTTAAAGGTGCATCCATTTTCCTACAAATGACACAGATTTATCCTTTATGGCTGAGTAGTATTCCATTGTGTATCTATACCTAATTTTCTTTATCCATTTATCTGTTGATGGGCATATAGGCTGAGGAAGCTGATGCTTAAAAAAAAGACTCCTTGCAGGTAGTTTTCATCACACTAAAGCCAAGATTAAAACATGTTGATTGAAATCAGTATAGTTAAGATGCCTGTATTCCCTATTAACATAACTGAAATAAAGATAAACTTTTGACTCTTACTAATTAAGATATTAAAGTCACTAAAACCATTGACTAACATGATGTGCTGAGTTCAGGTTAATGTAACATTTAGGCCAGTGTCAGCAAACCTTTTAGAGGTTTCAATGGTAGCAAGCAGCTGGCTGCAGCACATGTGGCAGGCATAGGTTCACCACCACCGATAGAGGCCATCCTCACAACCCTGTGTAAATTCCACTGCTAGTGTTGTCAGCCAGTAGCTATTTCCAGTTCATTCTCCATCAAATGAAGATAGCAAGGTAAGTCCTTGTGAATAACTTTGGGAGTGTTCAACCAGAAATTAAGTGGCCCACTAAATACAATCCGGATTCTCCTATGTTCTGAATAACTGTGTTGCAGAAATCTTGAAGTAAATTTGGTGGTTTTTACATTGGGCTCTGCCAATGTGGGGGTTTTTTCGGGCCTAAAGGAGTTGGTGTGATTCTCCTTTGTGGTTTGTTTGCTTTTGTCAAGGGAAGAGTGCTTACATTTTGAGAGGGACAGAGTTTTGCTTTTGATTTGATATGTATTTGAAAATTTACAATAAGTTATTATCTTTAGTTCAGAGGCAGATAAAGCCCCTCACTGACTTAAGACTTTACTGTCTTTCGTTGTTTCTTGATCTTCAACACATACATACAACATCATAAAATTTCAGAGCTTTGTAGATCTTAGACATTATGTATGACAGTCTCTTAATTTCTGAAATGAATCAGGATCCATAGTGTTTTTTGATAACTATAGTTTTACAGATAAAGCACAAAAACATCTTTAGAAGAATTGCATTTTAAGTCATCTGTGCTTTAGACTGCTTTTATACACCTATATTTTTAGAAACTATGAATGGCTTCCATTGTAATATATATATATATATACATGTGTGTGTACATGTATATTTTATTTATTTATTTTTGTACCAGGGATCGAACTCGGGACCTTGCGCTTGCGAGGCAAGCAGCGGCACCACTGAGCTAAATCCTCAGCCCCATTGTATTATATTTTTACTATATAACATTTATCTCCTCTGACCAGCATCTTTTTTGTCAATTAGAGCAAGGTTGTTTTTAGTACTTAGTTTTAATGGATAGCAAAAATTGTCATGAAATAAGAATATTTGGGGAGTGTACAACAATTATATGTGTTTTTTAGCCTAATGTTAAATTGTCATTGCTACAATAATGTTTTATTCTAAGATAAATTTATATGAATTTGCTCTGATGATGGTGACCTTGGTTCTGGTTTTGTTTTCAGAGTACTTTGAACATAACAGTTTTGAACAATTTTGTATCAACTATTGCAATGAAAAACTCCAACAATTTTTTAATGAAAGGATTCTGAAGGAGGTAATTGCCATTGTAATCTATTTATGTTGCATTATTATTTTCAGTTTCTTTTTTATTAGTGTCTGTTTGCAATACATAAAGTCACCCTCATCTTGGGGAGTCAGGATGTATACACAGTGCACCTTAATTGTCACTCTTCTCCTCCTTCCTGCCCTCCTGTCTCCCCTTGTCCCCACATTCCCTTCCCATCTCCACAGAGTCTTTTTTTAATTTCATTGGTACATTGTAGATATGCATAATGATAACATTCATCCTAGGGAATTTGTACCTGTACGGGATATATCTTGCTGCTTCTTTTCTCCCATTCCCCTCCCCTCCCTTCAACCTGTTTTCCCCTCCTTATTTACAAAAGCTTTGTTTCCATTTTTACTTCTATTCTTTTTTTCTTGTCCCTTCCTCCCCTGCTCCTTTGTTCTTCTCATTTGAACATTTTCTTCCCATTTCCCAATATCTATTATTATGATGTCTTTTATTATGCACTTTAAATTATTTATACTTTGAGTTTCTCATATAAGAGAAACTGTAGCTTTTTTTTTTTTTTGGTACTGGGGATCGAACTCGGGACCTT